TTTAGACCATTTAAAATGACTAGACAATATAAAATATCTGAGAGTATACCTACCAAACAGGTACAGGAACTATATGAACATAAACATAAAAATCTTTTTTATACAAATAAAGTTAGATCTAAATAATTGAAATAATATTTATTGTTCATGGATAGGTAAAGCCAATAAAATAAAAAAATGACAATTTTACCTAACTAATCCATCTATTAAATGTCATCCCAATTAAATTGCTAAAAAATAATATGAGTTAGAAAAAATAATAACAAAGTTCATTTGGAAGAAGAAAAAGTCAGGAACTTCAAAGAAATCAGGAGGAAAAGATGTAAAGAAAGTAGATTCAGCAGTATCAGACCTTAAACTACATTATTAGCCAATATAAAAAAAAATGACAATTTTACTTAAATTAATCTTCTTATTCAGTGGGGCCCTAATTAAATTATTAAAACATATTTTATTGAGTTAGAAAGATAATAATAAATTATATTTGGAAGAGCAAAAGGTCAAGATTATCAAAGGGATTGATAAAAAAAAATGTAAAAGAATGAGGTCTGGTAGTACCAGATTCTAAATGGTAAAGCAGTAATTATCAAATCTTTCTGGTAGTGGCTAATAAATAGTATGGTGGATCAGTAGAATAGAGTATATATACTGTATATATCAGTAAGTGATTATAATAACATAATTTTTGATAAACACAAAAATTTAAGCTTTTGGAATAAGAAATCACTATTTGTTAAAAAAAAAGCGCAGGTATTCTGGTAATATAGATCAATGTCTTACCCCATTTTCTAAGATAAAGTCAAAATGGATACATGATATAGATATATAGAAGATGTATCATAAGAAAATTAGACAACAATGAACATATTACCTATCAGATTTATAAATAAAAAAGAATTTCTAAATAAACCAGAAATAGAGAGTATGGTGGGATGTAAATTGGATATTTTGATTACATTAAATTAAAATTTTTTGTACAAATAATACAAATGTAGCCAAGATTAGAAGGAAAACAGAATATTGGAGAGGAAGTTTATAAAGATTATCTTGAATAAAGGCCTCATATCTCAAATATATAGAGAACTTCATCAAATTTATAAAATATGAGTCATTCTTCAACTGATAAATAATCAAAGGATATGAACAGGCAGTTTTTGGATAAAGAATTCAAAGCTACATATTGTCATATAAAATGCTCTAAATCATTTTTATTAGAAAAATATAAATTAAAATAACTTTGAAAATCATGTTATACCTATCAGATTGACAAAAATGTTAAGAGAAAATGACAAATGTTGGAGGGGATGTGGAAAACATAGGACAATAATGCTGTTGGAATTATAAATTGATCCAAACATTTTCAAGAGCAATCTGGAATTATACTCAAAGAGTTATAAAACTGTTTATACCCTTTGACCCTGCAATGCCAGTATTAGATCTGTTTCCCAAGATGATCAGGGAAAATGGAAAACAACATGTATGTTCTAAAATATTTATAGCATATCTCTTTCTGGTGACAGTTGAGGGGTTGCCCATTAATTATGGTTGAAGAAGTTGTGGTATAGATTGTGATGGAATACTACAATGTTGTAAGAAATGATGAGCAGGTTGGCTTTAGAAAACAAACAAACAAACATGGAAACCCTTGAATAAATAATAAAGAGTGAAATTACCAGAACCAAGAAAGTATGGTATACAATAACAGCAATATAATTTTAAGAGTAACTGTGAATGACTAAGCTATTGTGAGTAATATAAATATTCAAATCAAATACAAAGGACTTATGAAGGAAGATGCTATTCACCTCTGGGTTGGGGGTGGAGAGAACCTGATATATGAATGTATTATATGTTTTCACATATGTATCTGCGTCAGATGTTAGCATCCTCTAATATGGGGTTGGGAGGGGTGGAGAAAGAAAGAGCTGACCTAAAATATGTATAAAAAATAAATTTTTAAAAGCACTCCAAAGCTACCTCTCTTATTTACCTCCCTCTATGGTCACTGATATATTTGGGGTTCTAAGAAGACATGAACAGCATCTCCTATTAGAATGTAAATACTTCAACCTTATTTAGTCTCTTCTGATTGGTTATTTGCATTTACCTTTAATTTTTTCTCTTGACTCTACTGTTTGCATTTGAAAATTTCTGATCAGATCCGTTCTTTTCATCAACAATACTTGGAAGTCCTCTATTTCATTAATTATTTTTCCCCTCTAGGTTTAAACAAAATATAAGTATACATACATATATGTATGTATGTAGGTATGTATGTATGTGTATATATATATATATATATATGGAGAGAGAGAGAGAGAGTTTGTTTTTTTGTTTTTCCTTTTCACATGTCTTATTCTGCTCTCTTTGTTTCTTAAGGATCATAGCTGCTAAATCTTGTGTAATCATGACTATGGCTTCTCAGTGTTTTAACTTTTTTTCTCTTTTTGCTACTTGCAATATTTTTCTTTTACCTGAAAGCTCTGTAATTTGGTAGTAGTAGTAATGATAATTATAAACAACTCTCCTTTACATTATGCCAACTATGTACCAAGTATTTTGAGTAATCTTTGTAAAGTACTTAGCACAATTCCTGGTACAGAGTGACTCTGAGAGATGTGATTATTATCCCCATTGTACAGATGAGGGACCTGAGCCAAACAGAAGTTAAGTGACTTGTCCAAGGTAACACAGCTAGTGTCTGAGGCAGATTTTGAACTCAGGTATTCCTGATGTCAAACTTAGCAATATATCTACTATACCATCTAGCTGCCCACAGTATTTTTTTATTTTAGGGGTTCCTTTCAGGAAATAAATACTATGTATTTTTTATATTTCCTTTTTGCTCTCAAATTCTAATGTTTTTCAGTCATTTCTGTTGTGTCCAATTCTTTGTGGCCCCACTTGGGATTTTCTTGGCAAAGATATTGGAGTGGTTTGCCATTTGCTTCTCAAGCTTATTTTTATAGATAAGGAACTGAGGCAAACATGGTTAAGTAACTTCCCCAGGGCCACATAGCTAGTAAATATCTGAAGCTAGATTTGAAGTCAGGAAGATGAGTCTTCCTGACTTTCAAGCCAAGTACTCTATCCACTTTGCCACATAGCTGCCACCAGTCTGATTCTGTAGTTCTGGTCAAATTAATTTTTTTTTTAATGTTTTTATTGATTTTATTTATTGCCATAGTTATGCTAAATATCCTTCCCCACTCCTCTCAGAGTGCCATCTCATTGGACATGTAGCATTTTTTTGAGAGGGAACACAACGTCAACACAGCTGATCAATACATTTAAAAAGTTCAAAACATGTGCAGTGCTTAACACCTGTGTACTAACCACCTTCACAAAGGAATAGGTGGAGGATATCTTATCTCTCTTCATTTAGGTAGTACCTGATAATTATAATTTTACAATATTTACTTTGTGTATATGAACATGTTCTTTACTTTTTCATTGTTGTAATTACTGTGTATACTTTTTTCTTGGTTCTACTTGCTTTACTCTGTATCAGTTCATATAAATCTTTCCATGTTTTTCTGTATTTATCGCACATATCATTTCTTATAGCATAAACATTTCTATTACATTCATGTATCACAGTTTGTTTAGTCAAGCCCCAATTGATGGGCATCTACTTTGTTTTCAATTCTTAGGTATCACAAAATTGCTGGTTAAAATTTTAATTTTGGAATATGTGGTGAATTTTGACCCACTCATTAATTAATATCTCTGTTAGATCTCCATTTGTACCTGTATCTTTTGTTTATAGTTACCTAACCAGTTTTTACTTTTATTGAGTTGTGATCTGTTAAGAACATATTAACTGTCTGCCTTTGTTTCCATTGTTTGCAAAATCTCTATGTCCTATAGCATGGACAATTTTGTAAAAGTTTTATATGGTGCTAAAATATACATACATTCTGTTGCTATCCCATTTAGAAGACACCATAAATTTTTACCTCTAGTTTCTCCAGCAATTTATTTTGTTTCATGTTTTCCCTTTTGTTTAACTTTCACAGTAGCTATTTTATTTCTATTGCTGGGATGCATATAGACATTTGTTCTGCCACTCTTCTGTTTTTCTGGTCCACTTGTCTGTCTGAGGGAATGCCTGTATGGAAATAAGAAATACTTTCCATTTTATGGACCAAAAAACAACTTTTTTGCTTCTCTTTTAGAGGGAATTCCTGTTTAGGAATTGATTGAAATTCAGAGTCCTCCCTGTCTTTTTAAGCTTGAGACTGTGTGAATATGAAAGCTTTATGATATTAGGAACATGAAAACTCAGTGATACTCTATGATTCAAACCCATACAATCAAAGCTAGATATAGAGGAGGAGGAGGTGGAGGTGACAATTTTAAATCATCAATATAGCTTGGTTGAAAAATGAAATAAATGAGATGGTTACCCAAGAAAGAGTAAAATATAAATAGTTCTGTGCATCAGGACTGTATGAGAAATAATTTAGCTTAGGACAGAGACATATTGAAGGCAGAAATCCAACAACTTTAATTGGATTCTGTTTTTCCCCCTTCTAGAAAGGGCTAGCTTTGTATGCTTTGCTTTCTTCTATTTTCCTGTTTATGATAATCTGATGACTCACCCATATATAAGTGACAGTGAAAAGGCATACATTATTTCATCATTGCCTAAAGAGGTATGTTACTAAAATAGGTGATATTTATATTGTACTTTACAAAGACTTTATATAGCATATCTCATTAGAACATCCTAGCAATCCAGTGTTTTATTTTCTTTTCCCGTGGGTCACACAGTTGACAAAGAATAGAAGCAGCACCTGAAACTGGTTCTACCAATCATTGTTCATTCTATTACACCATGTTGACTGAATGAAAAGACCCTGTAGCCTTTACCTTTTATTTGTGGTTAGATTTCTCAAAAAAGGTCAGCCTAATCAAAATACCACCTTAATTTTGTTAAGGATAAGAGACTGTCTTGATATTTTCAGTGTAAAACTTGATTTTATTTTTTCTTTCAGGCTACCCCTAGTGGTTGGTCCTTGCCTATTAAGGCTATGGCCAGATCCCCACCCCTTTGGGCCATTTGTGTATCTATATTTTGTCAGTCTTATGCTGTTAACATCATGGGGTTAATGTTGCCAACCCTGATCAAGAATATGTTTGATTTTGACCTCAGAAATGTGAGTAAATAATACCTCCTGCCTATCCACTGTCTGAATGATTACTAGTCAGTTCTCATTTCCTCACGACGCTGATGGTACCGCAGGAGAAGAGATTTGAAGGTGACTTCAGAAATGATTTAGGCCAATCTCTTCTTATTAAAGGAGGAAATTGAGTCCCAGAAGGGTGATGTGACTTGGCCAATATCGCACAGTGAGTTAATAACAGACCTAGTATTTGGGTCCAAGTCCTCTGACTTCTAGAGTCTAGAATTCTGTCCCTTCTACAATTTTTCATCAAGAGCGATACTTTTTCTTTTCCTCAGCATTAAGAACATTAGTAACAGTATATTGAAAGTCAGGACAATGGAGTGAACTTAAGAATGTGCTTATTATGGATTTCATTGATCAGAAGAAAGCAATGTCAAGTGTTTGTAGAATAAATTCTCACCTAGAAGGTCAAAGCTCTCATTACCTAAAAATACCACCCACACTTACCTGTCATTGTCTGAAATTCACCATTTGAGATTTAATCCTCAGGATTAAATCTTTCTCCAAAGATCTGTTTTAAAACTAGAAATACCATTAAGAATGCTGTAATGCTACTTTTTTTTTTTATTACTCATCAGCTTGCTAGTGTGAGTTGATTTCTTGAACCAGTTTCCTTTGTCATAGTAAGCTGAGATCTGGGATCCTAAAATAAGAATTTTACTAGGAAAAGGAAGTCAGAATAATTATGGTGTACTGAACACTGTTTAAAGATAGGCAGGCATGCGACAATCTTAATGGATCAAGAGGAGAAGAGAAAATCAAGATTAGAGGTGGGGAACCTTTATACTCGAGGCCACATGTGGCTCTCCAGATCCTCAAGTAGGGACCTTTGACTAAATCCAAAATTCACAGAACAAATCCTCTTAATAAAAGGATTTGTTCTGTAAAACTTGGACTCAGTCAAAAGGCCACACCTGTATTAAGTGCCTACTGTGGTAGGAGAGGCAGATAGGTGACACAGTTGATAGAGTGCTGGACGTGGAGTCAGGAAGACTCATGTTTCCAAGTTCTAATCTGGTCTGAGACACTTACTACCTGTGCAACCCTGGGCATGTCTCTTAACCCTATTTACCTCATTTCCTGATCTGTAAAATAAGCTGGAGAAGGTAATGATAAGCCACTCTAATAGTTTTGCCAAGAAAACCACAAATGGGACCATCAAGAGTTGGACACAACTGAAACAATTGAACAACATGTACTAGGAACTAGAGTAAGTGTTGGAGATGCAAAGAAAGGCAAACAGCAGTCTTTGCTCTCAAGGAGTTCATACATGATGCAAACAACCATGTACAATCAAGCTGTGTACAAGACAAATTTGAAATAATCAACTGAGGGAAGAGAAAAAAAACCCTAGCATTCAGAGAAAATAGGAAACGCTTCTTACAGAAAATGGGATTTTAACTACCAAGGAAGCCAAGGAAGCCAGGATTCAGAGAGTAAAGGAAAAAGAATTCCAGGAAGGGGGCCCATAGCTAGTGAAATTACATAAAATTGGGGGATGGAATGTCTTGTTTAAGGAATAGCAGAGCAGCCACTGTTGCTGGATAACAGAACATGGGGTAAGGCATAAGGTGTAAGATTGGGAAGGTGGGAAAGGGAGCAGTTATGACTAGCTTTGAACTTCAGAGATTTTTATAACTGATCTTGGATATGACAGTAATCCACTGGTGTTTTTTGAGTGTAAAGAGGTGAGGGTTGAGGGTGCAATCTAGTTAGATATTTGCTTTAGGAAAATCACCCTGGTGGCTCAATGGAGGGTGGATTGGGTTGGATAAGGACTTATGGCAGAGAGACCAACAAGCCGGCTATTCTTACTGTTCAAGTTATGAGTGCTTGTATTAGGGTGGTGGCAGTGACAGAGGGAGCAGAGGGCATTTTAATGAAATGTTATATGGGTAGAAACAACAAATCTTAGCAATAGGTTGGATATAGGAGGTGAGTGAGAGTGAGGAGCCAAGGATGACACCTAGGTTAGGAGCCTGGGGGACTGGGTAGATGGTGGTGCCCTCAGAAGTAATTTAGAAATTGGGGAAAACTGAGGGGTTTTGGGGAAATACATCTGTGCGTGGTACATCCAATTTGAGAAGTTTCATTAGTAGCTGGAGATGTGAGTCTGAGGGTCAGCAGAGAGATTAGATGTGGAAAAGTAGATCTGAGAATCATCAGCATAGAGATGATAATTGAATTCATGGGAGTTGATAAAATCATTAAATGACATAGTATAGAGGGAGAAGACAAGAAGGCTCAAGACAGAAACCTATTCATCTCCCTGTTTTTCCTAATTATGTTCAACCCTTGCGATTGCAATTTTCATCAGAAAAATAGCTGATGTAGTAAAATTTGCAATGGGATTTATGTACGTCATCTTATTTGATCCTCAGGAAAAAAAATATACAAGTTACTCCTTCTTATTTTCTTTTTCTATATAACAACATGAAGGTTAGATAGGTTATGATTTACCCAAGGTCATACAGAGAGTAAATATTCAAGGTGCAATTTGAATCCAGTTTTCCTCTATATTCTAAGCACTGAGAACTTTCTGCTATGCCTTGTTACCTCTCCATCAGCCTAGGAATTTTAGTTTTTAGCACCGCATGTGACTCACTCTATTATTTCTCTTGTGCCTACTTCTGTCTTCACAGAATGGTTTTCTGAGTGTATTGCCTTCTGTTGCTGTAGTGATCATTCTTGTTATAGGAAGTCTAATGAAAGATTTCATAAGTTCTAGGAATATCCTCAGAAGAGTGGTGCTTCGCAAAACCTATGTATTTCTAGGTAAGGACAGTGTCAGGTGATTATGGGAAAATTCTCATGTGAGATCTCCAGAATGTCCTCAGTCATTTGAGTGGTCTATGTGTCCTTGTTTCCCAGAAATGCTGCCAGGAGCAGCACTATTCATTGATGTGCCATATGTCAACAAGTACACAGCTATTAGCTTTATGGTATTTTCTTTTGGAATGAATAGCCTGAGTGTTATTGGAACACAAATTAATGTTGTAGACATTGCTTCTAGGTGAGACTCCTAAATTTCTTTCTTCTATTTTAGGCAGTGTTGTATAGGAAGTAGAAAGAGAACCACATTTTGAGACAGTTTCAATTTCAGTATTTACTGTAGGGCTTTGAGTAAGTCATTTAACCTAGGTTTATATCCTAGGTCTGACACTTAATGGGATGATTTTGGCAAGCCAATTTATTCCATTTCAATAAACCTTTCTTTTTTTAAAGTTTTAAAATTTATTTTAAATTTCAATTCAAAATAAGAAAAGAAACAACAACAAAAAAAAACATTGCCATGTAAACAGCAGAACACAAGAGAGGATTCAATATAAAACAATAAATTTTCATTTCAAGAAAACCTATGTAATAAATACTACACATAGTTTTCAAAGCTGTCCAACTTTTCTTTCTTCCTTATAGATTTTCTTTTGCTCTCTTATGTGTACTTTATACTTTGTTTTTCCCCCTTCTCCCCCCAGAAGGCTATAATTAGGCAGGTGTGTATGTGTATATATACATATACATGCACACATATATATACATGTATACATACATATATACACATATAATATCCATAGATATCTATAAACATACATATACGTACACACATCTACCTATACTCACGTATATATGTATATGTGTGTGTGTATATATATATTTATGACTGTATTATGCTTATTTCCATTTGTCAGCTGTTTCTCTGAAAGTGGATAGCATCTTCCTTCATAAACCCAAGTCTTTCCATGTTTTCTAAATCAACCAACTTTTCTTTCATGTCACTGGATTGCAGAGTACATGGGGACTGGAGGGGAGTGTAAGGTGTAAGAAGGCTAGAAAGGTAGGAAGGTCACATTATGTAAAACTTTAAAAGCTAAACAATAGTTTTTATATTTGATCCTGAAAGTGGTAGGGAGCCATTAGAGTTTAATAAATGGATTTGATATGGTCAAACTTGCACTCTAGGAAGTTCAGTTTGACTGCTGAATAGAGCATAGATTGAAGTAGAGAGAAACTTGAAACAGGAGGGCCAAATGCGCAACCTTTGCAATAGTCTAACTGTGAGGTAATGAGGGTCTGCACCGAAGTAGTGGTAGTATCAGAAGAGAGAAGGAGATATGTGTTAGATATATTATGAAGGTAGAAACCATAGGAATTGGTAATATATTCGGTATGGGAGTGAGAGGGAATAAGAAGTTAGTATGAATTCCAGGCTGCAAACCTAGATTACTTGTAGGGAGGGTACCCTCCATAGAGTAGTTGAGGCTGACTGGAACATAAAGCAAGTAAATTGATGTAATATCCTATAAGGCTGTAAGATAAGGTGGAGGTGGATTGTGGAGAACTTTAAATACCAAGTAAAGAAATTAATATTTTATCTTAAAGGTAATACAGAGTCACTCCAGGCTTTTAAATGCGGAGGAGAGTTTATCAAAGGATAATAAAGGTTATGTGCCTAATGAAGATTGTTTTGACAATGGTAGTGAGTATGAATTATAAAGGGGAAAGACACAAGATACAGAACCTGGTTAGGAAGCTATTGCAATAGTCCAGGAAAGGAGCAATAAAGGTTTGAACTATGATAATTGCTGTATGAGTTGATAGAGGAAGAGAATTTTAAGAGACATTGCGGTGTTTGAATTGATGAGACTCAGAAAGTGACTGGATACAGAGGGTGATGAACATGAGGAAAAGGTGAAGCATCAAGATGGCTCCAGGGTTTTGATCTGAGTTGAGTGACTGGTGAGATGACATTGTTACCAACAACAGGAGCGTTTGGAGGAAGAGGAAGCTGGTCACACACTTTAAAGATGGTCTGTATTTCATAGGCCTTCCTGTAGTTCAACCTAAACCTGAACCATAGCACCCTCCACAACATATCTAAAAAGGGATCATCCAGCTTTTGACTAAAGATGTTTTAGTGACATGGAAAATACTGTATGCTGAAGAAACCCCTTCCGTTCTATGATAACTAA